ACGTAACGTTAACGTTAACGTAACGTAACGTAACGTAACGTAAGTAACGTAAGTTAAGTTAAGTTAAGTTAAGTTAAGTTAAGTTAAGTTAACGTAACGAACGAACACGAGAGAGAGAGAGAGAGAGAGAGAGAGAGGGAGATGTCTTTCTACATGTAAGTGATACTTCATTGTTACCATTCATATTTATGAAAAGAATTCTATTGAAATGTATGTTTTGTTATATGCCAACAAACACATTTATCATCATGAAGAACAATTTGATCTTTTCCCAAATAAGCTGTATTTTGAACCTCATCTGTGAGACAAGTGTGTCCTTCTGTTTCTGGTTTTCTAAGGCTTTGCAGGTTCATTATTAATTCGATTTCTTGTTGTCACGGGTTTTTTGTGCAACATGCAGATTTATATTCCCCACTTTCCTCTTCCATAATGTGGCATATCCATCAAGGCAATGGAGATGTTAAACAGAAGGATGAAGATGCATTATCTGCTAATATAATTACTATTCTCCGGCAGGATCACTTCATGTAGATAATACAGTTGTCCTGCATATCTTCATTTTCTAAGAACATGATACCCAAAGGTCAGATATGATGAGAATCATTAAATGGGAGTTTCCTCGGGGTCTTAACAGGGTTTGGAGCACTTGATCATTCCCTCAAGTGATTGAATGCCACTGCTGAGCTTTTATATGATCTATTCCATGGGCCAGAGCAAAGAGTGGATATTTTTATTTGTTATTTGTTGGTATTTATTTACATGCTATTCTTTTGTAACGGGTATATTGGGTGAAGCTTCACTGTGTACCAGTCCTCCCAAGTCCATCTGTGAGGCCCCATGCTTTCCTTTTTGTGTAGATCATTTTCATTTGCGTACTTGAAAGAAGCTTATGTGCTTGCACCTCAATAGATGTGCATGGTTTCTTTTGACAAGTGTGAGAATGTTCGAGAGATTATTGAAATGAACTTACTTTCAAGGCAGAGAATTTCAATGAGTTGCACTAGAAAATAAGTGAAAAGTGGTGATTTGTGTTTGTGGAAGATTTTGAAAATCCACTTTCTAAGAACTTTACATTTGGAAACTGAGCATTAAGCTTTGCTTGGCAATATTACTTGTGTGAAAAGAAAATGTGTTGTTTTCAGAGAGAAGTTCACTTTCGCATTAATGAAAACAAAAGGAGGTCTCGATAAGTAGGATTCGAATAAAAAATGCCCAGACGAATTTGTGGTAACTCGAGGGATTATGAGGAAGTCTTTCACATCATTTTGCTTGGGCCTGGGTGGAAAATACATGCCCGGTAACACTGTTATGGTTAACCATAATAATTTTCTGGTTTCTGACCAAGGAGGCCTGGCTTGAACTTGGGCTGGGTTAGGCCTAGCCCTGGCCTGGCCCGGCCCTTGTCCTATAAGGATAGCACAGGTTAGGCCTAGTCCGAGCCAAAAACAAATGAAGGAAAAATAGAAGAAAAAACAAGGAAAGAGGAGGGACTGGCCAGAACTAGCCCTTGCCCGGCCCGCACCTCATATGTTGTAGCCCAGGCTTTACTTTTTATGGCGGGGCCGGGGGGCCTTTCCAGCCGTATACACGACCGGTTATAGCGTGATGTACCTCCTCTCAAGCCTGTAAATGGGATCACGGAATAGTTCATTTTGACCATCGGTTGAGAAATGGGTGGAGGAGCTAAGTGTGGCACTTTATATGTTACATGAACATTAATATACCATCCAAAAAGAAAAATCGTTTTTGAGTTGCATGTGGTGTTTGAAGGGTTCCTTAGGGCCCTTCGAGTCCTAGGAAATAGATTTTGAGAGTTGTTTTGATTCAAAACATTGGATCGTGACCGACGAAATGTCGATGAATGAAAATTATTGCAAACTGGTGGCAAATACGAATGCCAATCAGATTCTAAACAAGGGAAAATACCATTTCAGGGGTCAAACCCTAATGTGAATGCCAATTAAAAATCCTAATTATGGGGCACTCCATTAAAATTAAAGGTTTTACTTTTTGGGACTCAAAATCTCTTTTGTTTTTCTTTCTTCATATTCATACTTATTGATGTTGAGACGACCAATTAGAGGTTTTTCCAACATTAAAACACTTTTTCCGATAGATTTTTGAGGTGCATCTTTAATTCTGCATCTTTAATTCTACGTTTTAAGGTTGCAGCCTTATATAAACTTATTTTTTACTTTTTAGCTTTTATTTCTCTTTGGTACTTCTCAGAAAATATATTCAATAATACCCAATTGGTTTTGTTTAGGGTCGGGAATCTTGAGCAAAAACGAGTACTTTTGCAATTTGATTTACTCTGAAAAAGTATGGTTACTCTTGCCATTTGGGTGGGCCTCTTTAGGTGTATAAAATTACTAAAAGTTTTATTTATTTGAGGTTCCCAACCTCAAATAGGAATAATTTGAAAATTTTTTAAGGATAGTTTTTGAGAAGGCACCTGAGTGATGATAAATAAGAAATTAAACCCTCTAATGTTAATTTTTCGATCCCTTCAATCACTTTATAAGAGGTTATCGTAAATCATATTTTCCTTAAAAAAACTATGCAAAGATAAAATAAATATGGTTCTCAGCAATGTTGTCATCTTTGATTTGGTTCTCTCCAAGAAGCTAAACGGTAGTGTCTTTTGCCAAACAATGCGAAGAGTAGAAGTCATTCTTCTGCCTAAGACCTGAGCCTAAGAGGCAGGTGGTTCAGCCAAATTTGTTGAGGGTAAATTTTGTAATTTATTATTGTTTAAGGGGTAATTAATGGAGTATTTTGATATTTTTCATTACTAGTTGGATCACGTGCGTTGCACGTAAGAATGAAACATGAAAACACATAATATACAAATTTGATACTTTAGAAGTCCCTAGTGAAAATATAAAAATTAATCTTGAATCTTGACAAATTTTAAACATCACACTATGAAATATAGATTTATATAAATTTTTTAAAAGATGGAAAAGTGAATTTCTACTTTGTGGTAAAGATAAAACATTATTTTCTAACATTCTAAAGTTTATAATAATAGTAAAAATTGGTTATGGATAATTATGGATGCATATTCATTCATAAAATTATATTTAAACTTTTGAAATGATGAAATGCAAATTTTTTTAAAAAATGATTAATTTAAAATGTAAAATTTTAATAAGTGCATCAAACTCCTATATAAAATATGGATACATGTGTTGCATGAAATATAAAAATACATAAAACAAATCTCTTCAAAATATAAAAGATAATATTATTTGGCTGGACAGTATGTGGAGTGCACTCGGAAGCAAGGCCACAACCAATTTTGCCATCGGATAAGCCAGAAGAAAACTCAAAAAGAGAATCTCATGTTACAATGAATTACTTTATGCATGAGAGTATTGGTTATAGAGAGAGCCGAACAATTTCATCTGGATATAGAGAGAGCCGAACAATTTCATCTGGATATAGAGAGAGCCGAACAATTTCGTCTACTTCCAGCCAAAACTCAAACCAATATTAGATAAAATATGATTCTAAGATGAACGTGGATACCAACTATAAACTTTACATGGGTCTTTTTCTCTCTCTCTAAAACCCAACCCCATCTATACTGGATTTATATCATACATATATTTAGTGCTTTCAAGCCAATCCATCTCTCTCACTGTCTATGGGTTTACATCTTTGGCTCCTCCGGAAAGGATCACATTAATGCTCTCAAGCCAACCTATCTCTCTCACTTTTTAGGGGTTTACATATATGGTTCTTCTGCAAAAGAACACATTAATGCTCTCAACCCAACCCATCTCTCTCTCTCTACTCTACAAAGGAATATATCAATGCTTTGAAACCCAATTCTCTGTTGGTTTTTTTTTTTTGACAATCATTTTTTTTACATCACATATACTTACACATACAATCCAAGCAAATCTCTCATGGATGGAAGCTGAGAAAAGTGCATCTAACCTAAAAGAGTATGAAATCATCTCTCCAACTGTTACCAACAATCAAATATCTTCTTTTGTCTTCCAATCACAAAGTCTGTTAAAATAGACCTCGAAAAAGTTTGACAGGGGTAAAAAGAAAAGTATGTGGATGAAAATTGCCATAAAGCCGTTACAATACTACACAAATATATGTGAGAGAGACATAAAAAGGAAGAGTGGAATTTCAAGATGTTATATGAAATTGCAACAGTGTGCATGGCCCTTTAACAATTAATCATCTGTCGTGGTGATTGATAATAGGCAAAACTTCCGCATATGGGAATTCTGAATAGAAGTGATGTGAAACTCTTCAACCTAAATCACCATGCTCACTTCATCTATCTTGATTAACCTATGACAATGATTAGCATGTTGAGAGACGATAAATCTTGCAATGTCACATGAAATGATGTACCTGCTTCCTTAGGCCACTCCTCATATGTGACAACCCATTTCCCAGATCGGAGAAGCCTGTGCAATAGGTTGAAGTATAAAGGGATTTTTTTCCTAGATAAGAGAGGCTTGTGAAACAGGTTGAGATTACCCAATTCACTCTCTTGAACATTCATCAAACAAATCAATTCTCTCTCTCTCTCTCTCTCTCTCTAACATTCATTAAACAAAGAAAAAATCAATAGTAAAGCTATAGAAATAACTTACCTTCTAGTTAAAGTATAAACCACAAAAATAAAGAAATAAATTCTCATTTATAAAGGAATTCATTAATGCTTTCAAACACAATTCTCTCTACCCCTCATTAAGAGTCTCAATAAGTGTAAAAACAAAGAAACCATATTACACAATATCATTTACATTCATGAATCAAGGAGAAAATATACCTAAAAAGAAAGAAAAATAATAATTAAAAGAAAAAAAGCAAAAAGATCACATAAGAAAGTAGAGTTTACAGTACCACTCAGAGGAGGAAGACGACCTATACAACAAATTGAAACTTGAAAGAATGGTATAGAGAAAGAATCAGGGAGAGGCTCATTTTAAATCATGCATATACAAAACCCTATGAAAATCTTGTTTTTAAAAATACTGCATGTCATAGGTACGAATATATATCCATGCCTGTTTTGAAAATTTTCTTCATCCACTATTTCGTACAACCCATGAAAATAGGGTAATTATAGCAAATATACCTATATTTTAGTTTAATTGGAAGAAAATCCCCAACTTTCAAAAACATCGTCTACAACCTTTTTTTCATTTTCGAGTGTTTTTTGATGAAAATGACCTTCACGGTAGTCGTTTTACCGTAATTCATATTAAGTTTTATTGTAATTAAAATATCGTAATAACTTGAAGTTGTATTATGGTAATTAAAATACTGTAATAACTTGAAGTAGTGTTACGATGCTTTAAGTACCGTAATAGATAACATTTTCTTTACGGCATTCTTTCTACTGTAATTAGGTGCTTGACATTGAGGGAGAGGAGAGAGAGATGAGACTTAAGAGAGAAGGGTTTTACATGTGAGAGAGAGATTTGAGAGAGAAAGAAGGAGAGAAAAGTGGCGTGGAGAGAAAGAGAGAAAGTTTAGGGGCGGATGGAGATGAAATAGAAATAAAGACGGGCGCGAGAGATGAAAGGGATAGAGATGGTTTGTTAGGCGATTGAGAGAGATAGAGGGGGGAAGTTGAAAGAAAGAGGGGTACATGGGATTAAAAGTGCCGTATAAAATGAGTTAAACATTGCGATAGTTAAAATACCCTATAAAATGAAACATTACAAAAGAAAGAATGCCGTAAAGAAAATGTTATCTATTACGGTACTTAAAGTCCCGTCATACTACTTCAAGTTATTACGATATTTTAATTACCATAATACTACTTCAAGTTATTATGATATTTTAATTACCGTAAAACTCTATATAAATTACAGCAAAACGACTACCGTGAGGGTTATTTTCGTAAAACAAAACCCGAAAAATGAAGAAAAAGAGTATAGACGAGGTATTTGAAAGTTGGTGGGTTTTTTCCAATTCAGCTAAAATATAGGTATATTTGTGATACAACTGGTTTCCTT